TGATCGCAGACGGCGCGCTGCGCATGGCGCCACTATCCCTTCCCCCGCTTACCCAACCGCGCTCGCTCTGTACGTGCGCGGGCCCGCGTGGCGCCGCCGTGGCCCCGCGCGCGCCAACGCGCTGTTCCTTCCACCTCCTTCCTCTTCTACCCCCCCCCCCCCCCCCCCCAGCCTCCCTCCCTCCCGGCCGCCTCGTGTCGGGAGCGCGCGCGCGCCCCCGCCCCTCCCTCCTCCTCCTCCTCCTCCTCCTCCTCCTCCTCCTCTCCTCCTCCTCCTCCTCCTCCTCCTCCTCCTCCTCCTCCTCCTCCTCCTCCTCCCTCCCTCCTCCTCCTCCTCCTCCTCCTCCTCCCGCCGCCGCCGCCCGTTCTCGGTCCCGCTGTGCCGGTGCGGGGCCGCCTCTGCCTCCCGGTCCCGTTCCCAGTCCCGTTCCCTGTCCCGCTGTGCCGGTGCGGGGTCGCCGCGTCCCCGGCAGGAAGCTTCCCCGCTCCGCCGCTCCCCGGCGCCCCGCCGCGGGGGGGCGCAGCCCCGTAACCCTCCCTTCCCCCCCCCCCCCCCCTCCCCTTCCCTTCCCCTCCCCTTCCCCCGGTCTTCCCCCGCCATGCCGGAGAAGCGTCCCTTCGAGCGGCTGCCCGCCGACGTGTCCCCCCTCAACTATGGACTCTGCCTCAAGCCCGACCTCATCGACTTCACCTTCGAGGGCAAGCTGGAGGCCGCCGTGCAGGTAGGGCCGCGCTCCGGCCCCTCCTCATCCTCCGCCGCCGCTGAGGGGACCCGTGCCCTCAGCCCGCCCCTCTCTCCACCGGGCCCGGCTCCCCGTTCGCTCCTTCCCTCCCTCCCACCGCGGAGGCCCGATCTCCCCTTTCCCATTCCCCTCCTCACCGCCGGGCCCTTAGGGCTCCCCTCCCGCTCCCGTCAGGGCCCGGCCCTCGGCGCGGCGGAGCCGGCCGGGCAGGTGCAGAGAGGCCGCTTGGGGCTACCCCCCCCCCCCGCCTCCCGCCCCGGTGGTGCCCGCCCGCCCTCCCGCTCCATTCAGCCCGTCCATACACACGTACACGGACCCCCTCCGCCCGGGAGGCCCCGCCCTGGCCCCGGCAGCACCGGGAGCGGCCTGGAAGGCCCTGGGGGCCTCGCCCCGCCGCCGCCGCGGCCCCCCTTCGGCTCCCGTGCCGCCTGCCCCTGTGTGTGTGTTAGGATGGACATGGAGCGTTGGGAATGCTGTGCCGCGCTGGTATCCCCGGCTGCACCCCGGGGCCTGTTGCCGGCCTCCAGAGCGCTGCTTTTATCCCTCTCCAGCCGTTCCGATGGCTCGGGATTTTGCTGGAAAGCCGAACAAGCGCACATGCGGTTAAACCGGCGCTCGCTCCCCCCCACCACCCACCCCGGTGTGGTACGGTAAGGTGGGAGGCCTCGGTGTCGTGGAAAGCTGGAGCGAGAGGCTGGGTGAGCAGTGGGAAGGGTGTGCAACCCGTTCTGCTGCCTTGTGTGAAAGGCAAAGGATTCCCAGTGCCCGTGCCTCAAAGCCGGGATGTTTGATGCAAGCCCTGGAGTCTCACAGTCATTCTCAGGCTGCTCTGCCAAGGTTTCCTAAATCTCCTTCCATGCCTTGTGCAATGGTTTGAATTAGATGCAGAACGGGGAGGGAGCTCTTCCTTAAAACAGGATGAGCGTGTTGAGGGCTCCCGAAGGCTTGAGGGAGATGATGCTGAGATGCACACAGGAGTTAAAGCGGTGGTTAAAGCCTTGGTTTCCAATGAGGCAATGAAACTGCTGAACCTGAAGGACAGGTAACAGAGGGAGCCGGTGCCTGCGAGTGGGTGATGGCGAACCTTGTGACTCTTGGGACCTGGAGGGAGGATGGCCAGAGATGAGTAAGTTTGTGTCATGTGGAAGGAGCACTGAAAGCATGCATGCCTATTGCAGAGCCTGCTCTGAGCTCAAGTGCTCAGAGGCCTTTCAGTGTGATGGTGCAGCTTGAGACATTCCCAGCCTCTTCCGTCTTAATCCCAGCCACCTATTCCTGTCCTCGCACCCAAGTTGCTGCTCCTCAGGCCTGTTACAGCTGTGGGGCTGTGCTGTAAATGGGATCACTGAAATCATCCAGGTTAAAAATAACCCTTGGGGGGGTGGGAGGGGAGTAGTGGCTTTTTAAGCCAGCCTTGCTGTTGAGGAGAGCGTGGTATTGAACAGCAGCCTTGGAAACTTCAGCTGAACCCAGGAATAACGAGAGTTTGGAGGCTTCTGGTGGAGGTGGTGGTTGGTTTTGCTGGGGGTTTTGTAGCCCTGGTGAGGTATTTGTCATGCTGTTTGCTGTGCAGGGGATTGCTCAATGAATTCCTAGAGCAATGGATACCACCTGACAATGCGAAATCCTGGACTTTCCGACCAGCTGAGGGCATGTGTTAAGGAAAAACAGGGATCTGTCAGGTTCAAGGTTGTAAAAAGCCCGCGTGCTCACATGGTGGTGAGCTCACCTGGTGTTCCCACGGGAGAGGGAATTAACAGAAGTTGAGGGTGAGGCTTGGAGAACGTATCTGGAGTACATATCTTTAGTTTTAAATAGCTTTTAGCAGTCGTAGGCTGAATAATCATGAGGCCACATCCCAGCTGCATGCAGGCAGGCACAGGAGAGGTGCAGGAAGGTGGATGGGATGTGTTCACACGCTTGTCTGGAGTTAGAAACCTGGAGAAGTTTGTGGCTGTGGGTGTGCAAAGCACAATAAAGCTACATTCCAGAAAATTAAAGGGTGGAGAGAAGAATAAACAGCTCACCTGCAGTGCCGCATGGACAGGATGCTCTTTGGACAAGGGGAATGGCTTCCTTAAGAATAAGAGGACATTTATTAGGTTTTTGTTCCTGAATCTAGAAAATAACTCATTTGTGTGCTGTTGGTTCAGGTAAGGACCCCTTGGCTGTTTCTGCTAGCAGCTTGCAATGAGGTGGAGTGCTGCTCATCGGGGGTGTTCTGTGTGCAGCATGCTGGAGAGCTCTGGCGTACGTTGTGCAGTCATTGAGGGGAAGGTGCTTTTATGTTAGGGCACAAACTTTGAATGTTCTAGATTTTGGGGAGGGAAATACATAGACTGCCTCCTCTTGTAGAGCCAGGTAGCCAATCAAGCATAGGTCTTAATCCCTCTGCTCCATTCCAGCACAGTAATGGCTGGACAAACAACAGCCCCTGTCAAATTCTTAAACCAGCGATACTTTCTTACCTGTGGGGTGAGTACTGAAACTTTGACACCAGAATAAAGCCTGTTTAATCCCAAAATGAGGAAACCATTTCATTACGTGCCTCAAAAGTGTGTGTTTGCTTTGGGGTCTTTTTGTGTCTAGTAGCAGAGTGGCATTAGGGAAGGCTGTGATATTTAGTCAAGGTATTACAAGGGAACACTTGGTCAGGGAGTTTGCGTTTCTCACTCAGAGCTGTTAAATAGGATTTGGCAGCCCTCTGTGTGGAATTTTAGTCAGTCTCTCGACTTGAGCACCAAGCCCTAAAGAAATGTTAAATAACTTTCCAGCCTTGGCTTTGGGGCAGTGCATTTGTGTTGGCTTTTGTATGTAGAAAGAACTTAACATTTTGTCTTTATGCCCCTGTAATAAATGTTACACTTAACATGGCTCCTTCAATTAAGCTTCAGAGGATAAAGCCTTTTATGATTCAAAAGATAAGGCTGTTGCTTCTGTGTCAGCGGTGACCAGGTTCCTTTCAAAGCCTAAAAGAGAAATGCTACGTGGTAGAGGTTTATTGGGGCACTTCTAGTTTTCAGATTAGGGAATGGGCCCTCTGGGCAGTGTTTGTTGGCTCTTGATAAAGGAATGATACTGAAATCTGCCCCTTGATCTGATTGCCATCAACTTTTGAAGCTGCCTTGGTGAAGTACCTGAAGTTTTGTCTGGTTCTCTGAAGTTTTGTCTGGTTGCTTGAGATGTTTAAATATTGTCATAGGATAATGATAATAAATAATGTCATGTGATTTAAATAAGGGTCATATGAATATTTCTGAAGCCTGGAGAGTTGTGTAACAATTATATAAACTGTCAGTATTCTAGTTGCCATTTGTCACAGTTAAATCTTCCCAAATCCTTAACTGAACTGTTTCACAAGGAACCCTGATCGCAGCCAGGGCACACCGTGGCTGGGGGAGAAGCAGACGTCGCGTGGCAGCAGCAGATCTGGAGCTGAAAGAGTCGCCTACTCTTAATCCTGTGCTCACTCTGTCAGTTAGGTCCCCTTTAGCGTTTTAAGCTGTTGATTTGTTGGGCGTGTGGGGCTGTTCCTGAACGAGCACAATTCAGTTCTCTCTTATTTTTGGGTGGAAATAGTTCATCTACTTTATTCATCTGCTCGCTTGAGGTTTCATTATTCTAACCCTGATTCTCAGGCTCTGGTTATCAGTGCAGTGCACTCGTATTACTCAGTGTCTAGGCCAAGTTTTTTCCATTCTGTTTCTGACTCCTGGGAGGCTGAACCAGGGGCTGGAACAAAGAGGGGATGTGCAGCACAGGTCACCAGCACCAGAAACATCTGGCTCCCAAAGTTCAACCCTCGCTTTAAGCTTCTACGTGCGTGTTCTTAACGCTGTCCTGCCTTCAAAGATGACCTGTCTGGTGCCGAGCTCCAGGAAGGTGCATGGTTGTCCTCTAACTTCCTGGTATTTCCCTCTACATAAACCACCTTCTTTAGAGAGTGTTGTGTGGTGATTCATTTCTTTCATTGGAAATGGCAGTGAGGTGTTCCTTGGTTGCAAAGCAACCTGTCTCTATAAAGAATTTATAACCTGAGGTGGATGGCTCTCTTCTGTATCTTTTGCCGTCCCTTTAATGTGTCTTAAGGATACTGTTATATTTAGCAATGTTTAACCTGTATCTGTTGCTTTTTATAGGTTAATTATGCAGTATCTGCTAGACTAAAGACTCTGTAGTTTTCTGATCCTGCTGCATGCCAGATAAAGATTTATTGTGGTGCTCTTCTATGTAAACCTTGGAAAAAATAAGCTGTAATGGGTGTAGTGTTTGTGCTCAGTATCTCTTAGGAGGGGAGAAATTGTGTTATCCAGCACTGTAACTTACATTTCCAGCCTGTGAAATTAGATCTGACTCTAAGTGTTGGAGTCTCGAGCTTCAAAATCAGAACCTCAGGGCTGCGTGTACCCTGATGAGACAAGCTTCCAACCAGGAATGCTTTTGCTCCCCTTCAGAAGGCCCCTTTCAGTTCTGTCATTCAGAAGGTGAAATGATTGCATCGATTGTAGTTACAGAGGGGTTTACATGCCTGTGTGTATTTGACACTCCTGAAGTATGTAGTTGGATGCTCTTTGGTATAAAGTGAGTTTTTCCAGTGGTGGCATTGGTAATTTACTACTTTACTGTAATTTGCTTGAGGTGCAGATTAATAAAACTTCATTCATTTTCTCATTGAAGTTCGGAGTTCTCAGGAAGAACCTACAGCACAACTGAGGTAACGTTAGGTGTCTGTTCTTAGGGAGTAAAGGGCTAAAAACATACATACTTGTTGTAATGCTACATTTAGGAAAGGACTCTGAAGCCGAGTGACAAGATCATGGTTACCTAGTCTTATAACTGGCTCTTGGGAATTAGCTTTGACTGTAGATGATGTCTTTTGGTGCCCCTCAGCCTGTGTTTCAGGTGGGCTGGCGTTCTACTGAAGCCATTCAAATTCTCCTTTGAAGTGCCCTAAAAAGCTTTTTCCATCAAGTCCTTTCCTGCTCTGATAACTGGGGAAAATGAAAAGCTTCACAGCACCTTTGCGGAGCCAGATATTTTGCCTTTGCAGCTCTTCTTCCATCCGATGATGTTATCTTGGAAAACCTCTTGGGGAACTTCAGCCATTGTCTCCTATTAGGTGAGATTTTCCTTCCCAGAGCAGAGGTGTGGATGTGCAGGAGGTTGGGAAGTGCCTAACACCAGGTTGCCACCGCAGTTAAACGTCTGGAAGGGCTGCAGTTTTGGGGCAGAGCAGACCTGCTTGAGGTGTCTGTGCCTGGCTGCTCTCAACAGGTATTTTAATGTTAGTTTCATCAAACCCAACAGCTTTTACGTGTTGAAACGCTCCTTCCATCCAGACATTGGTTTTAGTTCATCGGCTGCTTTTAGCCTTCTGGCAAAGCTACGTTCATTGTGGGCATTTGGTGCTTGCTCTTGCCTTGATTAACCTCTTCTTCCTGAAGAGTAAATGGATTCTGTTCCAGAGCAAGGTGAAGCAGGGTGACAGTTTGCATATACACACCTTTGTAATTGGTTATACCTAATGCAGTGAGATGCTTTTTACCTTTAAATATTATTGAATTCATGAAAAGCACTGCCTGAGCAGAGTATCTCTCTTGCAAAGCATAGTACTAGTAGAAATAGCCAAGCAGTTTCAAGGTACCACTTAGAGCAAAACACATTGATTCATCTTCATGGTGTCTGTAAGCATTAGGGCATGGGTTCTTGTGGGATGAGTGGTTGGAAGTGTGCTGGGCAGTTTATAGCTTTGTTTTGTGTCTGTATTTTATGGGTTTTAGTGGATCAGAGGGAGGGGTCTCTCACAGCCTTTGTGCCAACGTGACGTCTCTGCTTGCCCCACTGAATTCAGTGAGTGTTCTGCACAGTGCGCTGTCAGCATTCACATCTGCACACTGGATTATGCTCTTGGTCTTGGGGTGTTGGAAGGTAAACACTTTATAGGCTGTTGGTTCACTTTAAATGTTCTCTGCTGGGTTGCACTCTTGTAAGAGGTAAAGAAAAACCCCTGAAAATAGGCAGTTGCCTTTCTAAGGCACCTCTGAAGCTGTCTCTGCTTAAACCTAAGCTTATTTTGCAGGCAGAGCACTGCACTGAAAGTTCTGCTGTCCTCAGAAGAGGTTGTTTTTTAAAGATGGAGCCTATTGTTCAACCCAGCATTGTCTGCAATTTGGACAACTCTTGATGCGTCTTGAATTCTTCATGCAGAGAGATCTGGATTTGTAGATTGAATAAAGGTCCCCCTTAGACACTTAGAAAAAGCTTTTCTCAGTCTGATTTTTGTGTGTGCGTGTGTGTTTTAGAAGACCTTGAAAAACCCCAAACCCTCATGTAGTGATGAAAAGTGCTGGGCTTTGATCTGAGGCTCTGGAAAGTGTTGTAATCCTTCAGTCGCATGCGCACCAGGCTTGTAAATCTGTGCTAGAAGCATCAAACCTAACCTGTGGAGCTTCTGCTGCTACACTTGCTGGTTTTGTGCTTTGCAAGGCTGGTGGTTGTAGAATCAGGTTAAGTTTATCAGGTGACATTGTTTTGGTTTCATTACCATGAAGAGGCAACATGGAGCTCTTGTGCTCCATACGATGCACTGCAGCGTGGCTGACAGGCAGGGGTTGGAAGGAGTCACTGAGAGTTAGGCTTGTCAAAAAGTCTAAGCCCTTACATAGGATGTGTTATACACAACTCTGTTCATAGGAATAAGCCAGGGGACTGGGGTTAGAAAGAATCTTCTGAGTTAGGTTTGTCTTGTGCCAGCCATGTGTCAGGTTGGCCTTCCCTGAAGTATCTGGTGTTAGCCCTTTAGTTAACTCAATGGACCCTTCTTGGGATGGGGGTTCACTTATTAAGTTGTATATTTAAATTTCTTAAGCCTCTCTTACCCCTGACTACACTTGACTTTGGTGTGTATGTACAAAATGACAGAGGAGCCATTCCTTCCGTGGGCCTGGGTACAATGGCTTGGGACTGAATATCTGCTTCTGCGTAGTCCCCTTGTGTAGATCCCAGCTCCTTTACATCAGAGTGGTAAGGTCAGCTGCAACTCTGACCCTTCAGCTCCTTAGTTTGGCTGTACTTGTAATAAACACCGTTCCATTTGGCTGGTGAGTGGTGACTTGGTGTGCATGGGCAGAGCACGTTGCTACAGGGGAGCTCTGTATTTGATGGAACCAGTTCCCACCACAGGGCGGTCCGGCTGGTTTCTGCTGTGTGCAGACGTGGGTAACTGGTGTCAATAGTGCATTTTAAGGTTATAATAGTGAAAAAACCAAGGCAGGGGTAGAAATCCTTAGGCTAAGGAGCTTACTGTCTGGGGCAGGAAGCAATTCCTGTGTGCCTGTGTTAAACTCTAGTTGGCTGTTGTGGAAATTCTCTCTATTGTAGAGGTGTTGCCTACTGCTAGAAATTGTGTCCTGGACTAGCGGAGTTTCCAGTTCAGTCCAGTGGGATGATTCTGGTGGTTTCAGCCATAAGTTTCTAAATAATTCCTAGTTGAATTCCCAAATATTTTACCCCATCGTAATTAATTGATATTTCATTTGAATTCCTCTGTATTCAAGCTCTTGCATCCAAATAGAAAGCTGGCGCAGTGAGACAGTTTATTACTACGCTGGGAGCTGGCCACTTGTTAAATAAAGCAAAGCTTGCCTCGCCAAGAGCTGGCAGAAGGAAAGCTTTCAGGAAGATGGAAAGGCAAATTTCTTGGCAGATGTTTTTCAACCTAAGAAGTTCTTCCAGTGGCGTGAGTTGAGCGCACGGTACCCAAGGTTGTATTTCTGAGCAGCTCCCAAAGATGTAAGTTCGGGTTCAAGAGCTTTGATTGTAGTCATCTCTGAAAGGATGCTTGAGGCTTTCTATCTATTTTTATTGGTCTTGGATTCCCAGCCGTGTACAAGGCCCCTATTGTCGAGCTCTCATACCAATTTTTAACAGGCAGTCTGTTCCCTTAAATAATTTCCAGCCTTGATAAGTAGGTCTGGATGGCTTGAACAGGATTCAAGTGCGCATGTTCTGCCGCAAGGGAGAGCAGGCAGTGGAGTATCTCTTTCTTTACCGCTCTTAAACGCTGAATTTGATTTCACTTGATGGCAGAGGGGGTTTGGGTTAAAGGGAGGTGGGAATCCCTACCCAGGGCAGCCCCATTTGATGCTCATCACATTTCTCTTCCAGGTGAAAAATGCAACCAACCAAATTGTGATGAACTGTGCGGACATTGACATTATCACAGCTTCCTATGCGCCGGAAGGAGATGAAGGTAGGATTCCTTTGGTTTTGGAGCTTTTCCCTGTTAATCCCTTTCATTTCCAACGTGAGATGCTGCTGCCAACAGTTAACAGCTGTGATTGCAACATAATGTAAGAGTTTGATAAGCTAAACTACCCCGTAAGCACAAAATTTGTTACCTAACCTTCATTCTCTTGTCATCACTACCCTTTACATCATGTTTAAATACATTACCTTGAGCTTCCATGACATCTACTTTCTACATCGTGGTACCCGAGTGTTGCAGGCTAAAGGATGTTTGACTGTTCCTACATTATTATTTATCTCTATCCTGGATAACTGTGTAGGAGCATGATCTGTACTGATGGACCTTGCAGTATTGACAAGATCTGTGACAAGGGTTTAGATAAGGAATGCATCAATAATTCCTGCCTGAAGCAGGAATTACTCATTGGCAATGGTTTGGAAAAGTACAGAAGACACTTTATTGACATCTAGCAAGATGTTGCAAGGGCAAGGCAACATGGGAAAAGGAGAGGGGCTTTTGACAAGGGCCTACAGGGACAAGGGGAATGGCTTTAACCTCCCAGAAGAGAGATTGAGATGAGCTCTTAGGCAGAAGAGCTTAAGCAGGGTCACAGGGAGAACCCTGTGAGGCCAGGTTGGATGTGGCTTGGAGCAACCTGCTCTAGTGGGAGGTTTCCCTTCCTATGGCAGGGGGTTGGAACTGGATGAGCTTTAAGGTCCCTTCCAACCCAAACCAGGCTGGGATTCTATGATGATTCCATGATCCTATGGCTAATAGATTTGTATGTGGCAAGTAGAATGTCTACAGCAAGTCATTGCAGTTAAATTGCTTTGAATGATTTTTAACAGAGTATTAAAGAAACCAGAGGGCTTCTTAAATACAGTTGAGACCACTGGCGGTGCTTAGGTGGATGGGGAGCTCTGTCCTAAGGAAGTAGCTTTGGATGGGTGTGTTGTGGAAAAGTAGAGCTCACAGCAGGAAGTGCAGTCGCAGGGAGGGAGGGTGGCAGGCAAGGGTATTACCAAAGAGCTTGGAGCCTGGCCACTGGCCTTCGATAGTGAAAGAACAGAGCAGTGCTTCCTACGTGCTCCATTCGGGCTCGGGGTTGTCCCCTGGTGCTCCATTCCTGCTTGCCTTTCATTAGTGAGCTTCAGTTGATTGGGTGCCCCCGGGTTGCTAAGTGCTCCTGGAGCTATTTCATACACTGAGTAATGAGGTGATAACAAGAGTGGTAGTAATAGCAGAGTGTGTGTGGAGTCTGCTCCTCCTACCACCCTGCCATAGGCCCAAACCACCTATTTTGTCATTGAGAAAATGAATGGAAAAGGTACCTAGGAATAAAGGCTTTTTCCAGTCAAATCAGGAAAAATACGTAAAACAGAGAGGATCTCTATTTTAATGTATTGTATTATTTTCACAGCTGATTTCCCTCTCGTAGGGGCCTGTTTTTCTCTTCTTTAACAGCATATACTTGTGTAACTTCAGAGTATCGATAGCAGAGCTTAATGGAGACCTAAACCCAAGCACACTGCAAGTGAGTCTGTGGCTTAAATTCCTCCCTTCTGCTTTTTCAGACAGCCTTGAAAGCGGTGCTTGGGACACGAAGGAACACGAGTGCAGCTCGTTGTTGTATCCTCAGTACTCGAGGTGCAGCTTTGTTGCATGTTTACTGTAGTGATACTCGGGCTTCATGGGGTTAAAAGCATATATTTCAGTTTGGTAAAGTGCCAGCTGGTGTAATGGCTTTGGAAGGAAAATTGCATGGGATTGGCAGGCTGTTTGCTGGCACCTGTTGATACAGATCCAGTCAGACTTACTAACGCTCCTATTGTGAGCAGCTTTTGGATGGGGATTGTATAACTGGTCTCAAAACCACAGTCTGAAATACAGCCCAGTGAACCAACAGGAGTATCAGCTGCATCCTTTGGGTTGAGTTGCTCAGGTGAGGCTCATACCAGTGGGAGAGTATGTTTGAAAATGAGGGAGAAGTTAGGGATATTTTCCCCTTTAAAGGCTGGAGTGAGGAATTGTATCCTCATAGTTCTGTACCTTGGTGGGGAAGAGTTTCTATCCCATTTGCTTGCAAATGGGAGACAAAAGGTAATCGGCTGCTTATCTTCCTTCAAGTGTGGCTCTGTTCTGAAAAGTATCTGTGTGAAAGAGACCTTCTTGTACAGGAGGTCCCTTTCCCTTGTTTGTGCAGGTGAGCTGGTGACTTTGGTGCAGAATAGTTGATTCTTTCCCTAGTAGTTCTTGGTAGTCTTGAGTGCACTGTGACTTGTACAACAGGAACCTTGGCTACAACTGTGGGCTGTGTTTTCCCTCCCCTCCTATTCACGTTTAAAGGTGCATACAGCAGAGGGTAGAACTGAGATTTGAATTTGAAAGTTTAATGCAGATTTGCAGGGAAATCAGGTTATTGCCCAATATTTGATGGGAAGCTGAGGGAGCTTTAAAAATCAAAGTCAAAAATGGTGCTGCATAATCCACAACTGAGTGACAGTGAATAATAAACTGGGAGAGGAGATGGGTTGTGCAATGCTTCAGAGTCAAAAAATCCTGTTTCATCACAAAATGAGTGTAGTGATTGGAACTGGAAGTTGTGGATTTGCTGTTTGTGCCAGGTATGCTGTAATGGAACAAAGCTACTCAAAAGACTTGAGTTTTCCATTGCTGAAGTCATGAGCAGCTCCTCCCACTCCTCAGAACGAGCAGTTGGGTTTGTTCTTTCCAGAAGCTGCTCTTTAGCATCTGTAGTCAAATATCTATACTATCTATAGTGCAGCCTTAGCACTTGGGTGTGCACGTACTATTCCACCTCTGTGCAAATGATTGACTTTGCTCAGCTGAATGAAGACCCAAAAAGTCATTCTGGAGCTACTTGGTTCTTCAGTTCAATGTTAGGGGATTGAGTTTCATGTGCAGTAGTTGGAGTGTCCTGTAAATCTCTCTTTTAAGGGGCTGTGAAATTGTGATGGAGTCATAATCAGTGAGCTGCATTGTCTTCAGCTTGGAAAGCTTTTCTGATACAGCGGCATCTAAAGCAGCTTCTTCAGTTCAGAGATGCTTGGAGGGTGGTAGTTGGCAGTTTCTCATGGAAAATGAGATGCAACTGTAGTGATATTTGCTTAGCAGGAATCGTCGAGTGAATTTTGATTTGTACTTCAACCTTTCAAAGGTTTTAAGGCCAGAACTCATTGTTTTAGGGTCTGGGACATGTTTGGGTGCTAGTGCTAGGTGCTGATTATGTCAAAGCTGTGGCTGATCTCTAATGCCTATGGAAAGCTGAGCAGTGTGCCCCAAGTGTATCTAAGCAATGCTTTCCCCTGGCCTGGGGGCACAACCACAGCACCATGAGCATCACACAGCCTGAAATCGCTCTGCTGTGAAGGGGCAGCAGTGCTTGTCCTCACTCCCTCCCATCTGCTGGAGTTCATGGTTGCACTGCAGAGCATCCCTGTGGGTCAGGAAACTGCACTGGCTAAAAACTGCCTCTGCAAAGGGAAAAAAGAAAGGCAGCTTGGAGACACATCACCTCCTGACCCCGATGATTGTATGGGGATGCCAGTGGAAGGAAGGGAATGGGAACATGCAGCTGGGGCCAGGTGGGAAAAATGAGGCTATTGTCTCTGCCCTTGGCAAACTAGATTTGTTTAAGCCAGTTGTGCAACCTTTCCTTGTAGAAAAGCTCATCTTCATCCTCTCTTCTGGAGAGGGCTTGGCGTGACAGAATGTGTAATGGTGGGGTTTTTAAGGAGGCCTGGCCTGCGTTGGCAGGGACAGTTTGGGAATATCAGATACCTCTGACTCCTTGAAAGGGTTTTACAGCCACTGCTTTCAAACACACGAGATGGGAAAGGGCTCGAAAGCATTAGTGGTCTAGGGAATTGTGTCAGCACAGCTCGGTGGCTGATGCTGGCGGAGCTCAGCGTGCGCTGTGTCAACACGTAGCTGGTATAAGCTAACATGCTTGATTTGCAGGTAGAGCAGCAGTGTACACGCTCACTGCAGCTCAGCTGATGGCTGCAAGTTCATTAAGCCACCATACCTTAATTGTCGGGGACTCCTCCATGTCATGGAATGAGGGCTACTTGAAAAAACACCATCTCTTGCACTTGGCTTCATCTTCACTTTGAAATACGTGCACGTTTGCTGCTGCTTCAAACCTCTGGCTGGGATCCCCGTATAGAAGCATGTAATACAGCAGTTAATGAGCCCAATTGCTCTACTCTGGTTGCTGTGCAGTTTCAGAAAGGCCTCTTTGGAGGGGCTCTGATTTATATCCAGTGCTATTGTCAACTTTGATACGGAGTGCTCCGAGCTGGGGAGAGTGGCGAGATCAGATCTTTATGCTTTTTCTTTCCCAAAGACATGGAGCACTAACAGCTTTTTCCTTTCTCATGCAGCTTGGTCCAGGCTCTGTACTAATGTGCTAGTGATTAACTTGCAACCTTGCCGTGCCAAACTCTCCAAAGTTCACAGGCTGCCAAAATTGTGTTGTTCTCTTCAGGAGCTTTTGTATTCAATGCTGTGAGGAATTCAGACAGCCTCTTACTGCAATTACATCTTTGTTATAAGCAGTTCTCTTAAACTCTTAACAAAAAGTATTGTTGATGGCTTTCCATGGTTCTTTTTCCTCTGGATTAAATTAATGGCACTGAATAGTTAGTTTATAAAAAAGAAAGTATCTTTGAATCTTTCATTTGTATTCTGCTGGTTTGGAAATTGATGGATAAGCAGCTTCTCTGTGGGAATGGCAAGAAGTTGCTGGAGCTGAGAGCGGAAAGACCCCAATTCCTCAAGGAGTACCCATGTTGTGAAGCTGGAAATGAGCGTTACCTTGTGGTGGAGGCAGATAAAGCTTTTGTGTGTTCATGAGATGGTCAGGACAAGCGGGGCTGGGGTATCACACAGCTCTGCCTCCTCAGTGGGAATTGGGATCAGCCTGCGCTGGGAGCACAAGGCATCATTCCTGAGCTGGCTGCTTCCAGCCCATTTGAACTCTAACTTGTTTAAACCTTGTTTCTAACTGTGGTGTAATTGGGATCTAACACTGGAAAAGCCAGGTTGAGAAGCCCTTTGAAGCAAGCTTGCTCTCTACATGGTGTTTTCCCAGGGACAAAAAACCCTTAAAGCTCTTCCTTCTTCCAACACTGGGCACGTTTGCCTGTGTCTTCCCCAGTGCAGGTTATAAAGGTTATAACATATCAGAGCTACAAATTCCAATACACCAAAGAAGAATCCACTTTTGGGATGGGAGGAGGGGGAAACTTGATCTCCATTGTCAACCTTTGGCAGAAGATCTGCATAACCCGCATTCTTCTGTATTTCTCAGTTTCAGTAGGTTAGAACTATGATCCTCAAGTCATGGTGTTGTTTGTCTTTGCTATCAGATTGTTTCCATTCGAAGCTGTAAAAAGATAAAAACGGGGTTGGTTTGGTTTGGTTTGCTGTGGTCATTTGAAACACACACTGGGGGGGGGGGGGGGGGAAGTGTTTCTGCATTCTTGTACTGATCTGTATCAGGCATTTCTCAGGTTTTCCTTCAGCCTCTGACCACAGGCTGCCAGCTCAGCTCTGCAGGCTGTCCAGCAGCAGGATTCCTCCCGGGAAGCCTAACATAAATTCCCAACAGGTATCCAACCCTGCCCAGGGTCACTAATATGCTATTGCAGAGCAGGTTTGTTGTCTGTTGGACTCTTCAAGATAGCCAGGGTCAAAATTCAGTGGCTCTAGGTGTAGTCAGCAGTCAGCTCCGTTCGCTGTTGCTGCGGAGCCCACCTGGGATGTTGGACGTTAGCATTGTTCCCTGAATGTCTTCTCTCTGACTCTTCTGTCATCTCCTTTCCTGCCTCAGTGTTCCCCAGAGTTACAAGAAGCAAAGCTGAACTACTTTGTGTTGCTCACTGCCCCAGTGCTTGCTGGCATTTTGATGTCCTTGGCATGTATTCTGTTTGAATGGTCCATCTGATCCCTCTTGGAGTGGATTTTAAAAGCCTTGGAACTCCTCAGTACAGACCAGTTCTTCTACTTGGCCCTCCAAAGAACATTTTTTTTCCTTGAATTTGTTTCTGTGCTGTATTTTCTTTTACAGCTAGAGTTGTTTTATTGTAAGCACTCGTGGATTATGTACCCTGGCATGGTGGTTAGCTCTGATTAAACACTGAGCAGAGCCCTGTGAAACCAGTAGTTAAGGCTAATGCATTCATGCAGTTCCTGCATTTGTTCTCTGTGAGCAGAGGTTGGTATTAACTCTGAGTTAAGGCTGAAATCATGCTATTCCAGAATAAATAGCACTTTACATTGTAGAAGAACAGAGCCATGTTGTCACATATGGAACAGCTTAACTGAACATCTCGTGAGCGTGCTCCGGCTGCCTCTGAAACCAAATACCTGGATCCTTGCAGGGATACTTGAGCATGGAAACAGGTCATTGTGAATTAAATTGTTGTTTCAAACAAGCTTTGTTCCTCAGAATTCCCTGTGTAAGGAAGGAGCTGATAGAGTGGAAGGTTTTTCTGTTAGGATGTTCCTGTATCACCACACTTCCCAGCATTCTTTCTTTGTCCTTTGCGACCAGTCAAAGCTAGGATTTACTTCAGTAGAGAACTGAAGCTGTTCATTGAATCTTTCTTCCTGAATCAATTTTAAAGTACCTCTAAAGGTTCCTCGAACCATTTCATGATCCCAGGTGTGTTTTCATTTGATTTGAGTGATGTGAGAGGGTTGGGACAAGCAGCTTGTGTTAGGAGTCATTGAGGCTTGGAATGGTTTGGGTTGGAAGGGACCTTAAAGACCATCTAGTTCCAGCCGCCAGGTTTCGTTGGTTGCTTGCATTTATATCTTTATGGATTATTCAGAAGCATGTTGTTGGATTTGGCTGATTCAGTTCATTTGAAATGTTCAGAACATCTCTGGGCCTTCTTTCAAACCAAGTGGTCTGTTTGTCTCTTTCAGAGGTACATGCCACAGGGTTCAACTATCAAAACGAGGACGAAAAGGTTACTCTTTCCTTTCCCAGTACTCTTCAGAAAGGTAAGAGCTATTTTCATGCTTCCAGCCATGTGTTTAAGACATTTGCACTCGAGAAAGCTGGAGTAGGACAGCTCTGTCTTCCCTGAAGTCAGACTGGGACTGCAGTACTCCCTGGGGAGTCTCTTCACTATAAGTCACTCTGTGAAGCCTCTGGAGTTGAAGATGCTATTTCACTAATGCTGATGTTTGCTTCCAACACCTCAGGTGACTAATTCTTTACCTGCTCTTGGAAGTTAGGCTCAGAAGCTATTTATGTTAGCTACTGAGGCTCTTTTCCTCTTACCACAAAGGAGCTGATCCGAATTACTGCAGTGTTTTCTTAGGCATGACCATACTAATTAATTTGAAATGCTGCAGTTTTTTGTTCTGAGAAGCTTGTCAATTGAAATGCAGCTCCTTGATTTGAATGAAGCAGTTTTAGTTCATCCTGACCAATACAAATAGAGAGATTTGAGGGTGATAGAATTTTCATGTCTCATTCTATGGGGTGTTGGCATCCTGCCTCCCTGATCAAGATCAGGTTTCCCCTTTTGCACTGAGACATTGAGGGCAGAATAAATCCTGAGACTAATTGACTTAGAAGCTTGAATGCAGCCAGTGCTTTATCTTGGCTTTTGGAATACATTTCTTAGGATGCTGTTATTATGGAGTAGCCACCTCTATTTGCCAGCCTTACTCAAAGGTAAGGACTGTGGGATCAGACATCTCAGCTGGCTGGAGGGAGGTCCTCCTGGTTAGTGCATTGTGTTTAGAAGACGAGATGAGGGCTGCAGCAGGCTCTGCTTGCTGATCAATGCTCAAATGCTGTGGTGAGTCTGGCTCTGCCTACATTGTTCTACTGGAGCTGCTTTTGTGGAAGGAGAGTGAAGGGTTTGAGGGAGGCTGGCAAAAGAAGCGATGGCTGGGGATGAGATGAAGGGACATCAGCTGAATGGCCTGGCCTGAAGGTCCACACCAAATAAACCTTCCATTTGGCACATGTGACTAACAATGTCCCATCTGTTTCTATTACAGGGACAGGGACACTAAAGATAGACTTTGTAGGGGAGCTGAATGATAAAATGAAAGGGTTTTACCGAAGTAAATACACCACCCCTACTGGAGACACACGCTATGCTGCTGTCACTCAGTTTGAGGTATGGGCTGTGTTTTTCTTTGGGGGGAATGTCATTCTTAACACAGGATTTACACTTAGAAGGAGCAAAGACACAGTTTCCTGGCTTTAACTCTACTCATTAGGTTAACTTGCCTTTAGTGTGGAGGGATAATACTAAACCCAGCCTTTATCTTTGCGAATTCAAGGTCAGTAAATTCTGGATCTGGCAGTTCCCCAGCTAAGGATCATGCTGATGTGAGATGCGTCGTGTATATCCAATAGCAGTGTTTAAGAACAGCTCTTTATTTAGATGTAGTCACATACCTCTGTATAACTTGCCTTTATGAAGTCTGTTATATTAATACGACGCTTTGCCTTTACCTCAGTATCTTAATGACACCCAAAATATGAGCCAGATTCTGCCTTAAGTATTACATAAACCCTGGACATGACAACAGAATTATAATCCCATAGTTATCTGCCTGGTTATATAAAAGCAGGGAGCACTTCCCTGGTACAAATGGAACGTTTCATGGGCGCTGTGTGCTGACAGAACACAACGAGGGGGTCTTGTGTGTACGGTCTGTGAACGCCTGGGTGCCCTCTCTGCTTTCACATGACTGAGCTTTGCTTCTGTCATGACTCTGCTGAATTCCACTCCGCCTGTAGAATTCCATCAGAGCACAGAGTGCTTTTCTGCTGCTTTTTGTTATTTTTCCTTAAAACCAAGAGAGAAATGAGAATAAAACGCTCTAAGGCAGAGGTCAAGAGTGTCAGTGAAGAGGCTCCACACCAATGACTCGCCAGCATCCATCCAAGTCCTTGCCTCTAAAATGTGCTGCGTTTTTCTCTGTGTGTTATTGCCACAATCCCTTGCCATTTGGTTGTTTAATGCTCTTTTCTTTCAGGCTACTGATGCTCGCAGAGCTTTCCCTTGCTGGGATGAGCCTGCCATTAAAGCCACATTTGATATTTCTTTGGTGGTTCCTAAAGACAGAGTAGCTTTGTCCAATATGGTAAGTTCTTGATGTGTGAGCAGACTGTTTTGAACAAAGCTGTAGGAACGGATTGTTTGAGAGTTAATAGTGTGTGATGAGATTGGGTTTTAGGCTAGGACCTGGCATGGCAAACAGGTTCTAAACACCACAGCGGTGGTGGGTTAAAAAACTCTTAGCAGGTGTCAGACCACGTGCTGCTTGATGAAGAGTGACTGCAGAGAAAAGAAGCCTTCGTGTGTTGATATAGCTGTTATAGCTACATAAGCACTAGAGATAAATAAGCATGTTTTCTGCTCCAGGGAATTTCTGGGATGAAGTTTGCAAATAGATGTATCTCAGTCACAAATACAGGTTGCTACTTGATCCATGGTGCATGCATCTCTAGATTACGTTGCTGGAGAAGAGCAAGTCAGTTTAAAAATAGACTTTTTTTAATGCCAGTAGCCGACTTTCATTGTTACTTGTAAAGGCAAACCTCACCCGCATGGTTATGGTTTCTGACCACGTGGTTGTTGTTTCTGTTTCTCTTCACTGGGGACTGGAGCAATGGGACAAGGGGTGATGGGTTCAAACTTCAACAGGGGAAGTTCAGGTTTGATCTAAGGAGGAAGTTCTTTACTGTGAGGGTGCTGAGACACTGGCACAGGGTGCCCAGAGAAGCTGTGGCTGCCCCATCCCTGGCAGTGCTCAAGGCCAGGTTGGACCCAGGGGCTTGGAGCAAGCTGCTCCAGTGTGATGCATCCCTGTCCATGGCAGGGGGTTGGCACTGCATGATCTTAAGGTCCTTTCCAACCCTTGTTATTCTTTGATTCCATGATTTAAAAGCAAAAGCCTGATGCTTTATTGGGATGTGGGCAATACTTTCTTTGAAGGCCAGCAGCTGATAGCCGGAATATGAAATATGCATTCCATAGTAATGGAATGTAAGTTCTGAGAGTCCACTTCCATGGTGACGGGGCGTTTTTAGTTCGGAAGGGGAACTACATCATGGTCTGTATCTTTAAAATCATTGTCAGAGGAGTCCGTTCATTTCTGAATGCATGACTCATACTGATGGAATAGTCACTCAAATGGATTGTGTAACCCAGTTCCACTTCCACGAAACTAACCCATTCCCTTTCCTGTTGGAAGAATGTTGTTGACAGGAAGCCGTACCCGGACGATGAGAACCTGGTGGAAGTGAAGTTTGCCCGTACCCCGATAATGTCCACCTATCTTGTAGCCTTTGTGGTGGGAGAATATGACTTCGTAGAGGCCAGGTCCCTGGATGGTGTCTTAGTGCGTGTTTACACTCCTGTGGGCAAAGCAGAACAAGGAAAGTTTGCATTAGAGGTAAATGTGCTCAGGGTGACTTTGGTCCTGCTGCAGTGACCTCCGCCAGCCTGGACTCCTCCTTCAGTTACCTCGCTCCACACAGAGCTCGTGAGGCTGCTTGTGTTGGCTTTAATGGCTCAGGGAGCACTGGGATTGGTATTAAAGAGAATGGCAGCTGTGGGCAAACTGATGTCTCTGATGACAAAAACATACGGTTTAGTTCAGCTCTGATTTGGTGATGGAGACTTGGGCTCAAAGATGATGAGAAAGGCTGAAGGGTAGGCTACAGCCTGGGAGAAAAAGGGGATGGGAGTCTTCCAAACCATTGTGCTCTGGAAGCTGGGAATGGGGCTTCTGGAAGAAATCTTGTGGCTGCTGCTTTCTTAGGGCAGTTTCAGTCATAAATTTCCAAGTTTCACCAGTTGTTCTAAGTTAACATAACATTTCTCCTCTCATTTCTTACAGGTTGCTGCTAAAACTCTGCCTTTTTATAAGGACTACTTCAATGTTCCTTACCCTCTTCCTAAAATTGATCTCATAGCTATTGCAGACTTTGCTGCTGGTAAAGTAACTCACTTTATTGATGAACTGTCTTTTATTTGAATTTCAAACCTTTAGGAAGAGGTGTGTATCAATATCAATAAACCTTTGTATTTATTTTATAAAGGTGCCATGGAGAACTGGGGCCTTGTTACTTATAGGTATGCTGTTAAAATACTGTCTTTCCCCCCTCTTTGTTCACTAATTCTTGGAAGTAATTGGATTAGTTGTAGGCAGCTGTAATTATTGGGTATCATCCCAACTAAGACTGAGTAAATACCTTCAACTCTCACTTCGGTTTGGATGATTTTGACTTCTGCATTGTACAGCCCTTAGGAAGGCCAGAATGAGTTAGTACAACCACTGTCCAAGGGCCTGAGGTTTTGAAGTGTCTGGCAGCACTGCCTGTTCCACAAGAGAACTTTCTTCATCCCTCCCCCCCCCCCCCTTATAAAAGTGATGTACTCACTGACACAGCTGGAAGAGTTACTTTATGTCATGGGCAAGTTGGTGAATTACACCCACAATGCAGCCATGTGGAGACAAGTAAATTACAACGAAGGACTTGCCTTCCTTTTCAGTTTGCTTTTTTTTTTCCCCCTTCAGCTGATCAAGCTTTTGTACTTTTGCTTGATATTATTCCACTCTCTGTGCTCATTGTTAGAATGCTTTTCCTTCCACTTTGGACAACATTGCTCTTGTCAGCTTTGGACTTTAAAGCCTGGAATAGGTGGGATTTCTTCTGCTATGCTTTTTAATTTGGCCTTAAAAATTGCAATGGAAAATTGAGCCCAGGTTGAAAACGACTTGTCTGCTTAGCACAGTGCTGATGAAACCTGGTGTTTTACTCCTTGTAGAAAAAAAAACCCCATTGTGCTGTTAATTCCTGCCCTCCATATACTGTTTGGCACTCTTGCTCCATCCCTTTGGGTTGGCAGAACCTGCAGGCACCATCCCTTTTGAGATCCCCTTTGAGTGAGCCACCAAGCCCTGCTCATGACAGGGGGGGTTCTAGCTTGTGTGCCTGACCTAGGGAGTGCTTGTGTGTCTACATGTGTGTGCCCTGTGTGGAGACTCGTGTGTGTGGTGGTGAGTGTAACACGGCTGGTTGTGCACTTGGAAGAGCTGGAATTCCTTTGGGGATGAGGGAGGGAGAGACTTGCTGTGCATCCATCATGCAGTGCAAAGGGAGTTAAGGGACCTAGATTATATAGGTGAGCTATTCTATAAATGAAGGAAAAAGCTTTCTTGCTCCTGCCTGGGTTTTTGCACTGGTTTTCTTGCATGCCATAAGGAATTACTGCTCCAAAGCATTCCAACAGCTGTGGAACTTCCCAAAATAATGTCTAAACTGAAACAGCTTTTGGTTTTTCTCAGTTGCACTGATCACTTTTTAGCTTGCTTAGGTCATTTAACCTACTTCTGATTGTTTTATTCTCTGGGTATGTACCACTCCATTGAGTTTTCCTTCTCTCTTAACTACAGGGAGACTGCATTGCTCATTGACCCCAAAAATTCCTGTTCTTCATCTCGCCAGTGGGTTGCTCTGGTTGTAGGACATGAACTTGCTCATCAGTGGTTTGGAAACCTTGTGACCATGGTATCTAACAGTTACAAGTTCTTCTAGTTCTCTTTGACATGTGCTTCGTATCATGTGTGTGTTCAAGTGCTCCTTTATAGCAGGCATGCTATATTGGAAGCAAGTATTTCACTAGTGCTTTATTACCACTTCCCTCTTTACTAGTGTGTTCTTTAGAGGTATTCCCAGATCTTTTCCATGTGAAGTGATGTTCAGTTGTTTGAACACAGAGTTGAGTAGGTGTTCCATGGGAATGATTCTGGTTAGCCAGGTTGCTTGGAAGCAGTAATTCGCTGTTTTCCTTTCAGGGAGGCACAATTCACTCATCAGGCTTTTTATACCAAGCAGGCTGAGTACCAGCTCAGCCTTGCAAGTTCTGGTCCAGTAGCTGACAAGTTGCTCCGTAGCAGCTCATCTGAATCACTTTGGATATCTGGGGAGCTGCCAGTCTGAATGCTTTGATGTTTAAGTCATTTTGCTGGGAATAAAAGCCAGCAAAGGCTGAAACCTGCAAAGAAATCCCATTTAATGCTAAAACCTGGAACCTCTCTGTCAGCTTCTTCTGCTCACAAACAGCTTCAGCTTACTCCATTCATTAGATGCAACATTCCTTCTCCCAAGACCCTGCAAGCAGGTGCTTGAAGCCATCACAGGTTTGGGAGTTCCTTGTGTAAACGTGCATGGCTTCTGCAGCCCCAAATCAGCCAATTTTAACTTAATTTGGAATCTCACTTGTACCTGAGGCATTTTCCTCCATTCAGAGTTTGTAAAACTTAAGGGGAAGATGGGTTTTGGGTGCTGATTACTTCTTGGATTGAGGACTTCTTTATAGAGAGGAATTTGTGCTTACAAGTGTTTCTCTGATTTGCACTGAACTAGCCCCTTAACAGCTTATCTTTGCTGCAGACTTACTGTGGATTACATGAAGCTGTTTGGAAGTGTGTTCTTCATTCTGCCACCTTCTCTTTCCAGGAATGGTGGACCCACCTGTGGCTGAATGAAGGATTTGCCTCGTGGATTGAGTACCTGTGTGTAGATCACTGTTTCCCCGAGTATGATATCTGGACTCAGTTTGTTTCTGCTGATTACACCCGTGCTCAAGAGCTTGATGCCTTAGACAACAGTCATCCCATTGAAGTAATTCTGTCTTCTTCTATCTTCTATTTCTACTGGGGTATTTTTGCATTTGGGTAAGCGCTGAGCCAAAGGATTGAAGCAAAATCTATTCGATTGAATACCAAAACGTGAGTTAAAGTATGTTAAACCTATAAACCAATCCTAACCCAACCATATGTGGAGAAGCTGAACTGCCCAGGGGCAGAGAATCCACTAAGATAGCTTAGTGGTGGATGTGCATGTGCTTTCTACAGGGAGAAGTCAGCTCCTTAAACACTAGAACAAGCAAAATGAAAACCTTAACAGCACTTAACATGGTTCTGACTGTGAATTATCCCTTTACCACAGGTTAGTGTTGGCCATCCCTCCGAAGTAGATGAAATATTCGATGCTATTTCTTACAGCAAGGGAGCATCTGTAATCCGAATGCTACACGACTACATTGGTGATGAGGTAAAAAGATATGCTGTTAAAAAGCCAAATATAGATTGTTGAATCTTTTCACAGTAAAAAAGCTCCCTTAAATCTGTGTTTTGTATCTGGGCTCTCTTTGGACTAACCAAGGAGAAATAAGATAGTGGGAAAGCGTAGGAGTTACAGATGTATGTACTGATCCTAAGATTCCTTGGCTGATTCTTGAATGCAAATGCAGTGTGGAAGGGAGGACTGAAAACCCTCCCTCCTGGTGCCATGACCTGTTCAATTGTATATTCCAGGACTTTCGGAAAGGAATGAATCTGTATTTAAAGAAGTTCCAGCAGAAGAATGCAGCTACAGGTAACTGGTGGTGGTGATGTGCTTTATTGAGAAGTGGTTTCTGGAGACAGATTCTTTAGTGCTAAAGTGATGGATTCTCAAACAGCTGCTTTTCCACCCGAAAGAACTGAAATGCAAGGAACTCATTGCATTTAGTCCCTTGCTTCTGGTTTCATACAAGAGTCCCCCGCATAGCCAGAATTCAGCATCCTTCAAGGCTTCTCTGTCTCAGGAGTATGTGGCTGGGGTAATCTGCAAGCGCTGCATTTCCCCTTGATAACCCCATCTGTGTACTAATCTAATTTAGAAATGGAGTATGTTGGTTTGCCAAGCAAGCCTTTTTTGCAAGATTCCTTTTGCAGTATTGATTGCATGTATGATTAAACAGTTCAAAGTCTTCCCTAACATCGCGCAGCGCTTTCTTTACTCGAACCCTTTTTGTGTAGCAGGCATAAATATGGAAGTGGAACATCGTGCTCTAGCAGCCAAAACCAGCCCCTGTTGTTCCATCAGCTCTTGGCGTAATAGATGGAAAGCTTTAAGGAAGAGCTTTTTCTGTTTACCATTTTGAATATTTGATGCTCCTTTTTGCTCATTTATCACAATGTGTCTTGATTGCATTTTTTTGAGGAGTAAAGAAGATTTCTTCTCCCTCTTTTCCCCCCCACGAGTAGTTTGAGCTATTGCCTTTTTCTTGCCTATCGCTTGTTATGGTTTGATAAAAGCACAACCCAAAACATGAAGGACAAACAGGAGTAGCAATACAGCCTCCCCCATCCGGTGCCCACAGAGTGTCCCTAATAGTGCCTGACATGGCAAGACTCTGGGAGTCCTGAGTCAGGCTTCTCTTCTGCAGAGGATCTCTGGGAAAGCCTGGAAGAAGTTAGTGGGAAACCTATTGCTGCCGTGATGAACACATGGACCAAACAAATGGGATTTCCACTCATTTATGTGGAAGCTGAACAGGTAAATCTAACTGTGTGGTTTTCAGCACTTCTGTCTTTAGCACCCGGGCATTTGAATCCCTCTCTTTGATCAGGAGGCAGCACAGTGGGTCACTGTTGAGTGACAGTTCTGTATTGAAGAGAGGGGAAGTGCAGCTCGCTTGAGGAACCTAATGCAAAGCAACATGGAATTATTCCACAGGCTCTTTAGATCATGTGCTGGGAGTTTGCTGACCTTGCCTCTTGGCTCTTTGTGTGTGAAATGTGTGCTGGGGGGAGGGAATATCTGACTTAGCTCCCTTTGCCACACGTTTTGCTTCTCCCTCCAGTTCAGTTGTGCTTATGCTACAAGATTGCAGGGTGAGTGAGGATTACTGCCTGGAAGCTGAAGTCAGACAAATTCAAATGTGGAATTGGGGTATGTGTGTGTTAACAATAACAGTGATGAATGCTTTGGAATGGTTTTTTGAGGTCGCTTCTTTTTCTAGAGGAATATAAGTTACTCCTTTGAACAGAGGGCACAGGGATGGATTGTGATATAGAGAAGCTCAGATGAGCTGTTCTGAGAATTCCTTTTTCTCTTTTCTCCTTCTTTTCCCTCCCTCAGCAAGAAGATGACAAAGTGCTGAAGTTAGTCCAGAAGAAATTCTGTGCCAGTGGACCATATACTGGTAAGATGATTGCTAAGAGCAGGAATGGTGTGTTCACTGCTTGCCATGCAGTAGCAGAGATGAAACCACAGGCAGGTGCTCTGCTTGGGTACATGTGTTGAAGTATCTGTTAAACTGCAGAAAAGCCAAGCTTGACTGCTTTCACACGTGGTTTCCATGTCCTCCTTGCATGGAGAACAGCATTGGTCTGCAGCCATTGGTTTGGGTTTCATTCCAAGATGCTTTTCTGATGGCCAGTTTAAGGCCATCTGAGGATCTCTGCAAGCTGCTGGCTTTATAGAAGTGCTGAGATAAAAATGCCTCCGGAAGCAGCCAGCACTGTCTGCAGGCACAGATTCCACCCATCTTCCATGCTTAGAGAAATTAAAGCATTTGGCTTGAAAGGTGGTTTATTGATTCTTGGGGTTTAGCTCTAGAATTGCCCTTTTCCTTCAGATTTGTGCCTTTTTTGATTTCAGTCTAAGTAGCCTTGCTTCAGCTGCTGCTGCGCCTCATCTGAACATCAGGCAGGGTATCTCAGTGTTGGGTGCACCCATTCCTTGTCCTTAGCCCTTCCTTATTGTTATTTCCTCTTTCAGGGGAGGATTTGCCCATGTGGATGGTCCCCATAAGTATTTGTACAAGTGATGACCCCACCTGTGCCAAAATGCAAATACTGATGGACAAACCAGAGCTCACCTTGGTTTTGAAAGACACCAAACCAGACCAGTGGGTGAAGGTGAGTTGACACCAAGGAGAACGTAGTCCTGGAAGGAAATCTGTCACTGTCGTGTTCCCTCACATTTCATTTCCCTCTTCTTTTATTCTCCCCCCCCTCCCCTGCAGTCTTGTTTTCCTTATGGAAGGGCCTCTCTGTGCTGCTACTTCATATTAGCTCCTCTCTGTAACACTTAGTGTAGTCCTTTGCCTTCTGAGACTAGCCTAGACAGTTAAAACCTGAACCTTATAGAAGCCCAAACCATAAAACCAGTGTGCAACCAGAGGCAGCATTTGAGTTGAACTGGGGGAGCTTTCCTGGTACCCTGTGGCAGCCCCAGTTTAGTTAAAATCCATCCTGAGCAAAAACAGTCCTGTTCATCTTTCATTAGTGGAAAGGCTTTTGCTGTTGGCAGATGAGTACAAATCTGTGAGCTGAGGTCTGTTACTGACACCAACCAAACTGAGAAAGGTATCATGGTCCATAAACTAAAAAGCATTTCCTCCTTTGTTCTTTACTTCTAATTCTTGTTCACTCTTTTGGTCCTTTTCAGTTAAACCTTGGAACAGTTGGGTTTTACCGTACCCAGTATAGCCCTGACATGCTGGAGAGTTTAATACCAGCCATCAAAGACCTCTCCCTACCCCCTGTGGACAGGCTTGGCCTGCAGAATGATCTTTTCTCTCTGGTAAGCAACCCTTTGCTGCTCTGTTTAATAGGAGAGCTACAGGAACTGCAGAAATGGGTGTCTGAAGAGGCAGCCTCAGCTTCGGGAGGCAAGGTGCCTTTGGGATTATTGCATACATCACAGCTATTACCTTGACAAGTTCTAACTTGTAGTCTAAGACTTAAAAACCCTGTGGAAGCACTGTCTAGAACTCCTGTTGCACTCTGGAGGGGAAGAACTGTAGGGTTCTTGCTTCCAAAATCATTTTGAGAACCTCCTTTCTTTAACTCATCAAAATAAGGAGATTTCAATGATCCACTTGACTTTATCAAACCCTGTCAGCACCACGTGCTTTATGCAGTTGGGCTTGTAACTGCCCTCCACTAGAGGAGGTGCCTGTTGGGGCTTCTCACTGGGATTGCCCCCCAAGCTGGTGTTGCCAGCTCTGAACTGTCAGCTGCTGTACTCTGCATTTCACAGCGTGTTTCTTCTTCTTGCTAGTCAGCAAGTGAATGGAGACTTCTAAACATGTGGGCTTCATACCCTGCCTCTCTAACTTGTAACTCCTGTTGTGGCTTAGTTGAAGGGGTTTGAGACTGCAGCCTGAGTTGTTTCCCAAACCATGGAATCCCAGAGTGGTTTGGGTTGAAGGGACCTTAAAGCTTATCCAGTTCCAAACCCCTGCCACGGGCAGGGACACCTTTCCACTAGAGCAGCTTGCTCCAAGCCCCATCCAGCCTGGCCTTGAACACTGCCTGGGGCATCCACAGCTTCTCTGGGCAGTCCAATGAGCAAATCATACACGTAGGAACATTGTGTTAGACTCCTCTTTTGGTTTCAGTACTAATCGTGTTTTTATCATAGGTGAATGTAGCTTAGATAATAAAAATTGATCTTCACCTCTTTTCCAGTACCATAAATTACTGGTCTAGTTCCAGATTAACAGAAATGGCTGGAGGCATCCACAGGAGGTATTATCAACTGCACTAAGTGTAGAGGTGTTTTCATGCCTCTGTAAAGCAGTTCACATCAGCTCTCCCTGGCAGGGGTGCAGAGGCAGTGGTACTTCTTGTACTGCTTCATGGGTGCAGCAGGAAGCAGACTTCTGCTGCTTTTCATTCCCAAAGAGCAAAACTTCAGTCTCTACATCTTTACAGTTTTTAGTTAAAATAAGATTGCTGGTGGGTGGCTGAGAATAACTCTGGGGGTTTGCTTGTGCTTGCCAGCGTTGCTGCAATTCTGTTAAGTCATTTTATTTCCTCCTCTGTTTCTTGGTTGTAAAATGTGCTTAGAATTGTGTAGCTGCCTCCTTGTAAAGTGCTTACCTGTGCATAAAAAGCATCGTATGCCATGAGGTGCTTTGACTGCAGTGTTAACTCATCTTGGCAGAACCCCGCAACAGAGAAACTAGAGTTTATATGCAGGCTGTGCAAACTGAAGGCTATAAAATAATGTGATGTGCTCTTAAATAACCTTAATTCTGTTTGGAAGTAAGATTAATCTGTGGTTTTTCCTCTCCCAGGCCCGAGCTGGAATCATTAGCACTGTAGAGGTTCTAAAAGTCATGGAAGCTTTTGTGAATGAGCCCAATTATACTGTGTGGAGCGACCTCAGCTGTAACCTGGAGATTCTCTCAACACTCTTGTCCCACACAGACTTCTATGAGGAAATCCAGGTGTTCGTGAAAGATGTCTTTTCACCAATAGGGGAGAGACTGGGATGGGACCCCAAACCTGGAGAGGGTAGGAAACTAATGCTCTGAAATCCAGTAGTGCTTTTGGAAAACTCTGTGTAAATCAGCCATAAGGATATTGGGAACGGGGAGAGAAGGGAGGAAGAAGAGGCTGAAGTAGGTGTTCAGGGTATTCCCATGCTTAAAACCAGACAGACAAACCCAAACCCCCACAATAACCCCCTGTTATCAGGCACAAGCTAAAACAGTCACTGATTACAGATCTTCTTTAGCTTTGCATCTATTGGAGTGCCTAAAACTCATTAGACTGCCAGGATGGAAAGCCATGTGTGTGCATGTTTGCTTGTCCTAGCCCTGTTGTAGATGCAGATGGTTACTAGTACAGCCTTAGCTCAGGTTACAGGCCTAGCCTGTTGTGTTTGGGCTGGAATCATCTTCTCCTGACCCTCTTGCCCTAAAAAAAACCCAATGTGTTCTCCAGCTGGCACCAAGGAAGGTGAGAAAAGGTTTCTTTAGATCTCCTCAAGCATGTGGAAGGATTCTTATACAGCTCTTCATTGATGACTTTAGGTAGAAGAACACTTAATTGTTGAATTGTGTCTCCAAATAATACTGTTTTCTTCCTGCTCCTCACTCACTAGGTCATCTAGATGCACTTCTGAGAGGGCTGGTCTTGGGCAAACTAGGAAAAGCTGGGCACAAGGCGACATTAGAAGAAGCCCGACGCCGATTTAAGGACCACGTGGAAGGAAAGCATGTGCTGTCAGCTGATCTGAGGAGTCCTGTAGGTTACTGTAAATGCTGGTTCTCTAAAGGCTGTCCCCTCTGTCTTAGGACTGTGTGCACTGAGCTCTTGGATATCCAAGAATAGGGAAGCTAGAGGCAAGGTATGGGACCGGCTGGTTTTGGCAGAGGTAGTGGGAGCTTGGAGAAGTCCAGTTATGAAGAAAATGATACTGGGGAGCATGGTACAAGCATCTCTGTGTCTCTTGAATCAAGCTAAGCCTCATCTCTCATGGCCAATACATAGTCCTAACTCATAAGCTCACCTGTACCACACTGACTGCCACAGGGCAACTCTGGTCTCTAGAGTGGGTTGCTCTTTGGGTTTTGAAGACTATTTAGGTACAGTGCTGAACTTGAGCTGACTTCTACTCACTCACATCCATCCACGACCTGCCTGCGTCCTCCAGGTTTGAAAGCACCGTGGTCAGCTTGGCTCTGCAGAGCACGAAGTCTGACTATGGTGGATATGGATTGAGTATATATGAAGTACTTAATACTTAGGTGTGGCTTGGTACAAAGATCTCCATTTCTAGTGTTTGCTGTGGTTGAAATTCCCAAAATCATGCTGAAATTGAGGAAGAGCTGAAGGAGTTGATGCATTTCTCAAATCCACTTTTAACATGGAAGGGATCAGTGCCAGATCTGTTCACTTGTCTCAAATCTAACCCAAACATGTAGAGATTGATGGTTGCATTTCTGAAAGTGTGGGTTTTGAAGGACCTTCCTTGTTTATGCTCTGTCTTAGGTATATCTAACTATTTTGAAGCATGGAGATAGTACTACTTTAGACACTATGCTGAAGGTGAGTGCACACTCTCATTACCACTGCCAGCTTATGCAACAAGAAGCTAAATATTCCACCCTACAAGTTCCTCTAAGACATAGTTTGTCTGCACACAAGCTCAGGCTGACGTTCTACAGATGATGTGAACCCTTGGGCTTCCTTATGGGCTTCCTTGGTTCGTGTGTAGTAGGAAATTGCCACCTAGTGGAGTGTTGCAGCTCTCAGTTGAGGATTCTTTCTCATTGCTGGGAGGCGTGGTCCTCCTTGACCTTACATAGTGGTGAAGATGAGTTTATTACTACTGGTAATTTCTGCTGATGCACGTGTAATGAGGTCTGTAACGTGGAGAGCTGCAGGATGATTCATGAACAAGTTCAATTTGTCATGTATTACCCTTGACAACTGATCTAGCAGCTCTAGTTCAGTGCTGGGTAAGAAGACAGCATTTAATCCTGTGCCCTAATATTACTCCCTTTGGCTTTGAAGCTTCACAAGCAAGCAGACATGCAGGAGGAGAAGAACCGAATCGAACGCGTTCTTGGAGCCATCTCTCAACCAGAACTGATTCAAAAAGTTCTCACCTTTGCACTTTCAGTAAGTCATTGGCAAAGCTGCTGCTTCCTTCACCTCTGCCGAGAGAATGCTTGGAATGCATTAGAATAGAAGGAATAACCTTAAGGATTAAATCTTTGAGTTGTAGCTTAAAGCTTGGGAGGGGGAAGAGGAAGGTGGTGTTGACAGATGCGATGTACAAGTGCAGAAAGCCAGGGTGTTGTATTTGTTGGAACACTCTTGAATACCTGTCTGCACTTTCCCCTTCAGGAAGAGGTACGTCCCCAGGACACGGTATCTGTTATTGGTGGAGTAGCTGGAGGCAGCAAGCAGGGGAGGAAAGCTGCTTGGAAATTTGTAAGGGACAATTGGGAGGAACTTTATAATCGATACCAAGGTGGATTCTTAATATCCAGACTAATAAAGGTACGTGCAGCTGAGACAAACCCTGTTCCTGTACAGGACCAAACCTAAACTGTTAGATCTGAAACGCTAAATGCTTACCCTCGGTTAATGTGCTGTTTTTTCCTTCAGCTAACAGTGGATGGATTTGCAAATGATAAAATGGCTGCAGAAGTTAAGGTAAGACATTGGAAGGAAAGGAGCGATGAACTTCATCTGTGACAAACGTTGTGTGCCCTGGACTATAAGCACTGATGGAAGAGGCATGAGTTTGTGCTTTGAACTGTGGCTCTATTTTGTCTGTTGCCCAGTTCCCCGATTGCTTAAGGTTGAGTTATTGTATTGAAAGGTGTTAAATTGGCATTTTCAGAGCAACGTGATTCCTCTTTCATTACTTTCACTCATTTAAACTTCTAGCAAATCCAGCCCGGTTTCTGGCAGGGATTTTAAGCCTCCCCAAAAGACAACCTTTAAAGATAGCTGTAGTAAAGCCAGTAGTCGTCACAACTTCTGGAGTAAGCTGAAACACCAGCTGCCACTTTCTCCCTCCCCACACGGATACAACGCATTTGGGGCTGTGACAGCACTAGCACCCAGGGGAATTAACACAGCAGGAACTGGTTAAATTCCATGTTAAAAAGCTCTGTGTTCCTTTGTGCTGGGCACTGAGAGCAAGGCTTTGATGTAAAGCAGGTGAACGTGTTCGTAGAGAGTCTGTTGTGAAGTCAGTGGCTCAGGGTGATGGGATTTCAGTGCTGGGCTCGAGCATCCCCTCGCGCTTGGGAGCACAGGCGCTGGGCTTGGCAGAGTTCTGACAACGTGGGTGGCTTTTATCGTTTACTCTTTGCCCATTTACAGGGACTCCTTCTTGGGAGAAGAAACTTAAAAATATGGCCCTTCATTATCACTTTCCTGTTAGGAAATTGCTTGGGAGGGATTCTTATTGAAAAGACTGTAGTGACAGGACAAGGGGCAACGGGTTAAAACTTAAACAGGGAAAGTTTAGATTGGATATAAGGAGGAAATTCTTCCCTGTTAGGGTGCTGAGGCACTGGAATGGGTTGCCCAGGGAGGTTGTGAATGCTCCATCCCTGGCAGTGTTCAAGGCCAGGTTGGACGAGGCCTTGGGTGACCTGGTTTAGTGTGAGGTGTCCCTGCCCATGGCAGGGGGGTTGGAACTGGATGATCTTAAGGTCCTTTCCAACCCGAACTACTTTATGATTCTATAAGACGAGCTGAGCCATGAACTCCATCCATCAGTGTTTTATCGCCCAGTGATCTCTTCTTAGAAAGGTTTTAGCAGCAGAAGTGATTTCACTGAGGAATCTTCCTCTATAGTTATTCTGTTCTTAAAGAACACTTCACAAACCACTTCCCAGACCAAATCAGAGCTGCTTTCCAGGATTGCTTCCTGAGGCAGCAGGCCTTTAGCTGGTGTACTTCATGTGCCCGAGTCTCTGTGTCACCCTGTAGTGGACATGAGGGTGAGGTGATCTGCCACAGCCTGCTTGCCTGAGCAGGGGGATGACTCCCAGCCATGCCAGCTTGCTCTGCCCTTTAACCAACCCTAAAATGCAAAGTCACAGCAGCCTCTGGTGCAGTTTCTTCAGCTGTTTGCAAGGGATCGATATTGTTGCTTCTGGAGGAAGAAATGTGAGACTCTTCAGCAAAACTCCTGAGTGCTGCTGGTGCTTGGAGGTCATTATGCAGCTTGGAAAGAGGCCTAGGTAGAACGCTCAGCAATCCGATACCTAGACAAATGCTTCTGCAAAATGACTCGAGGCTTCTGTTAGTGTCTTCTTCCAAGTATCCAGAAATACACACTTGATTTGCTGCTCGTTTGTTGCTTCCCAATGAGGGATGGAACTCATCTCTTCAAGTGCTGCTTGCTGTCCCTGGCAGCAAGGACAAGGTGGGGCAGGAGGCAGTGTAGAAATACTGCTTTTCCTGAGCAGGGAAATGGAGTATTTTGCTGTTCCCTCTCTGTACCTGAAGTTGCCAGTCTTGCAAATGCAACAAGCAGCCTGCAAATGCCTCAGTGTGTGATGCTGGTGGGAGCAGGACTGTGGGCATAGAATCATAGAATAGTTAGGGTTGGAAAGGACCTTAAGATCATGCAGTTCCAACCCCCTGCCATGGACAGGGATGCATCACACTAGACCATGTTGCCCAAGACACTGGCCTTGAACACTGCTAGGGATGGAGCATTCACCACTTCTCTGGGCACCCCGTGCCAGCGCTTCAGCAACCTCACAGGGGGTACTTCTTCCTTATCTCCAACCTGAACTTGCCCTGTTTCAGTTTGAACCCATCACCCCTTGTCCTATTGCTCCAGTCCATGATGAGCCCCTCCCCAGCATCCCTATAGCCCCCTTCAGACACCGGAAGCTGCTCAGAGGTCTCCACGCAGCTTCTCTTCCCCAGGCTGAACAGCCCCAATGTTCTCAGCCTGGCTCCATACGGGAGCTGCTCCAGCCCCTGCTCATCCTCGTGGCCTCTTCTGGCCTTGCTCCAACAGCTCCAAGTCCTGATGCTGAGGACACCAGAACTGCACAGGGCTGGGTCTCATGAGCCATAGAACCTCATTCCCATGGCTGTATAACCCGGGGAACTCGGTGACTTCTGATCTCCCCGGTGCCTGTGTTCCACCCTGATGGATGGTCGTGTACCTTCAAGCACCGCAGTTCTTTCCCATTAGAAAGCCACCAAACTTCACGTTACTTAGAACTGACTACGTTGTGCTTTTGTGCCTCCTTGTCTCGCCGTGCAGGCCTTCTTTGAGAGTCACCCAGCCCCTTCGGCAGAGCGCACGGTGCAGCAGTGCTGCGAGAACATCCTGCTCAACGCAGCTTGGCTCAAGAGGGACGCCGACAACATCCACCAGTACTTCCTGCAGCGCAAGGCCCCACCAGCCATGGTGTGAAGCTGTGCATGCCCCTGCTGCAGTCCTGCTGCCGCCTCATGGGGAGAGGGAGGAGCGACCCCAACACCTGATTCGTATGCCAAGAATTTGGAGTCTTTTTTTTCTCAAGCCAGTGGGGATTGGACAATGAATGTAGTTTAACTGGTTCCTGCTCACACTCCAGATTGAAATCCTAGTCAAATTCTCAGCAATTCAGCAAAAAACCAACCACACACAAAAAAAAAAAAGAAAGGAAAAAAAAGAGAGAGAGAAAAACGTGTAAATATGATAGTAATAAACTAGAGCATAACAAAACTGTGAAACTTCCTCCAGCCTTGTCAGTGGTTCAACTATTTAACACCCCCCTCCTGCCACTTCTTGACAGATGTTCTGGTTTTTACAGCCTCCCCTCCCAAAACCAAGCTCTCAATCAAAGGAACCCACTGGTTGCTGGGTCATGTGGCATTTTGTGGCGAGCCTGGGGCAGGACTGGGTGAATGCCCTCTTGAGCGTGGCGGTGTGGAGCAGGTCGCTGGGGAAGGCAGGTAGCTGGTATAACATAGAGTCCGTGCAGCATTGGAAGCGTGAGGTTTTGGGGGAGAGATGTTCCTGCAGCACCATCCCCCCCACACCCCCCACCCCCCCCCAACCTCAGGATAGCGAGTTCCCTCCCTTTTGTGTTACCTCTCAGCACAAACTGTTCTGTTGCTCTTCGGTTTTCCTCCTTGGATCCACTTGCTGATGTCCTTCTTAGAGATAACGGGATTGTAAGGAAACATCTTTCATAGCCACATTAAAGAAGAGAAAGAGTCATGCAATTTGTTTGGGTTTTCTTTATTATCCCCACACACACACTCCCTAAATTGCACCCTCCCCATGCATGCAGATGAGGAGGTGACTCCTGTGTGGCTGCTCTTGGGGCAGGCCTCCCCTCCTCGAGACACACCGTTAACCTGGCTAAAAGCCCCAGTTTGTCCAAGCTCCTCCTGGCCCTAGCAACGGTAGCTTCTTGTTCCTTTTCTTGTGATGTCGATGGTCATTTGATTCAGAAGCCTTAAATTAGTGATGACTGACGTGCTGATCGAGTCCAAGCTCTGTGCCATCATTCCCTTCCCAAAGCAGCGTGGTCTACTAACCAGGCACGACACCCTCTAATTACAAAGGTTGGGGTTCCGTCTCTTTTTACCCTTTAACAGCAATTGGTATGTGGTGTGGCTTCACTGTGTTTCGGAAGGTCATCAGACTAATGTCAGACTGCTTCCCTCACCCAGTTTTGTGCTATTGTTTAAAAAGAAAACGAAGATTAAACCAGTTGGCGTTAATAAAACTGTCAATGTGAAACCCATGGCCTCATCCTGTGTTCTGTTTCGAGGGCGGTGCTGCTTTCAAAGGACCTCAGCTGCGGAGGGAGCAGCCCCAGGTCTTGTGTCCGTGGTGCCTTTAGCAGCTCCAAGGAAAGCCTTGTTCTCAGCCTTCTCTTCCTATACTCTCAGGGCTTAGGGCAGCTGGATGAGCACACAGACCCCAAGTGTAAGTAGATCTTTGTGTAATCCGAATCAAGAGTGGAGCTGAGCGCTTTAACCAGGGAAAGGAAAAGGGAAAAGAAATGTCAATAAGCAGATTTCTGTTAAATACCTAAGACTTGGAGGATCTGCAAGAAGGAATAGGATTGGGCACGTGCTGCTGATGCTAACTGCGATGAGCCAGAGCAGGGATCCGCACCAGGTCAGTTACTAGCGAGGTGCAGAGCTCTTAACCAGCATCATGTTGGTTCCTACCCCTAGGGCTGCTGAAAGAAGGCTGAAGCAGTAATCCCGTGCCTCCCCATCGCATCTGTTGACCCGTCTGTGGGTTTTCCCTGCTGTCAGCACTGCAGAGCCGCTGGGATTTCAGAGGGGTAAGCTGGTTTCTCTTCTGCTTCTTGCACAGGGACAAAATACCATGCAAAGCTGTGATTCCAGCGCGAGCAGTGATGTATGAAACGAGAAGGACGAGAGCTGCAAGCTGAAGTGAGCTTGTTTGGACTTTCAACAATGCAAATGACATGCAAGCAGTGGAAGGAGAGGGCCAGAAATAACAAGGTTGTGGTCAGTGAGCAAACTGAATGGTCTGCAGCAGACTGACCCGGCCTGGGCTCTTCTGCATGCAAAGAAAGTGGATTTGAATCCTTCATGGAAGGGATTTGGGATTTGGCCACTTAATGTGAAACCTTTTTCATCATAGACACTGGTTTGGGTTGGAAGGGACCTTAAAGCTCACCCAGCTCCAAGCCCTGCCACGGGCAGGGTCCCCTTCCACTGGAGCAGCTTGCTCCAAGCCCCTGTGTCCAACCTGGCCTTGAACACTGCCAGGGATGGGGCAGCCACAGCTTCTCTGGGCACCCTGTACCAGTGCCTCAGCACCCTCACAGGAAAGAGCTGCTTCCTTACCTCCAGTGTTTCCATACTTGTGTGCAGAATATGCTCCATGTTTTAAATGATAGAAAATCAGAGGGCAGCAAAGAAAGAAACTTGTGAACCTTTAAAAAAACAGCCCCAAAAAGAGCAAAACCCCAGCTTTGACTTCCCAAATCCTTCTTTAATGTGAACTGGTTTGTGTCTGTGCAGGGTCATGCGCTGCAGTGAGGTTCCTGTGATACCCACCATTGACTGTCCCTGTGATTAGCTGTTACATCGCTGTGTTTCAGAGACTTCACACCCATGTCCTGCTGTAAAGGTACCTTAAACACATACAAAAGACTTGCACGAGTGACAGTGCTCCATGATGGGCCATCGTAAAGGAGATTTGGCCACCAGGACCGTGGCTTGTGGCAGCTATAGGGCTGGTACCAACCTTTTCCACTACCAAGCAGGTCCTGGTTAGCAAAGGCATATGATGTGGAGCTCATCCTTCAGTGACGATGTCAACCTGAGCACTCTTCCACTCCCATGGAAGAAGGACCAAGCAGTAGCAACTGATCCCAGACCCAGGCTGAGTCCCATTTGGGCTCAATTTGCTGTGCTAAATTTGGGGTTTAAGGTTAAAGTGATTCAAGTTCCAGGGAAAATGTGTGGGGAAAATACACGGATGTGCCAAAACTCGGAGCCAAAGAGAGCTGTGCTCAGCTCGCATCATCTTCGCTGCGGTCATGGGGTGGACTCCTCCTTTACAGGTCCCCAAACCAGGAAGGAAAAGTGAGGTCATTTTAAGACTGAATGTGCTTGGAAATCACTCCCTCTAAGCAAGGAAGACCCAGGTGAGTATCTCTGCTCAGCCTTGCATGCTGGTGGGCTTCCAACCATTCCAGGTTAGGAACATCCCATCTTCTCCATCGCAGCACCTAGGTGAGACTCCCGGCTGCTCCTGCGAGCTGAGATGGAGCACACAGGAACTCACCCTGCTGCTGCAGCTCAGGCTTAGGGCCGTGCTGAGCACTAAGCAGCTCTGATGGGAGGTTTTGCTCCCGATGGAGGATGCACGCGTTGTCCTTGCAGGGCACGTGGTGGTTCGTGTCAGTGAGCTGCTGCTCGTGTTAACTTCTTAAACCTGGCATCAGCTGAACTCTGCATTTATGGTGCTTCCTTTGAGGTTTCCACTGAGCTCCAAGTGTTGGGTGGATATAAAGTCAAAGATCATTCCCATCCCTTGGAATTGAGGTAGGGTTTCCTGAAGGTAGATCAGCCCCATAGGCTCAGGAGGGGAACCTGCTGCTTAGTTCTTGTTCTAACCATGCAGAACTACGCCCAAGGACCCTGTCTCTGGCTCCAGCAGCTCTCTGCCAGTGGCTGTGGCTGGTTTATGAAGGCAGGAGATGATACAAGCCTCTGTAATGTGAATGCTGAGTATTCCATTTATGGCCATGAGGAGAAAACCAGCACATGGAGCTCACAGCTTCAGCCCCAGGGCTACCGGGGGGGGGGGGAAGCTGGCTCCAGAGCCTCACTCATCCTCATCTGACACTGGGGTTTGGGGCTTTCATTGCTACCAAGGGCAGATCTGCACAGAGCTCTTGAATCTTCCTCTCCTGGCTTTCCTATGGGAGCAGTCCCTATGGAAAGTCATCCTGGGGTTGTAATGGTCAGTGTTCTTCTGGGCTGCATCCTAGAGCCTCAGGAGTGGGGAGGGCAAGAGAGAAGCATCTTGGAGCTGCATCATAAGTGCAGCTGCGCGAGGCTCCCCTGCTCCCATCCTGTCCCTCTTTCCCTCTGCACAAGAGTGAGTTTCACCCTGTTTCCTCCCCAGTGCTGCTCAGTGAGTTGACTTTGATGTGTTAACAGAGAACTCTATTCCTTCAGGCTGAAAAATGTCATAAGGCGTCCATTCTGTTCCGTGAGTCAAGCTGTAAATAGTCATTGGTCTTAAAAAGAGGCAGTGATGTGAACTGTTGACAGCTCTGCCCATCCAGACTCTGCTGCTGTGTTACTGGGGAGCAGCATCCTCTGCTCTCCTCCTGCTAGCACCGTGGGCCATGGGTATCCCCATCTCAAAGCTTCACGGGCACTCATTCCAGAGGTTAGGCTCAGCTTTGGTTTTCCATATGGAATAGCTGAGACAGATGCAGGAAACGCTGTCTGCAACAGGATGAGAGCAGTAGGACAAACAGGATTCAAATCCCGACGTATGGACATCTTTCTCTGGGTGCCCTGTGCCAGCGCCTCAGCACCCTCACAGAGAAGAGCTTCTGCCTAAGAGCTCCTCTCAGTCTCCCCTCTGGCAGGTTAAAGCCGTTCCCCTTGGCCTGTCCCTACATCCCTTGTCCCAAGCCCCTCTCCAGGTTTCCTGCAGCCCCTTTAGGCACTGGAGCTGCTCTCAGGTCTCCCCTTCAGGAGCCTTCTCTTCTCCAGGCTGCCCCAGCCCAGCTCTCTCAGCCTGGCTCCAGAGCAGAGCTGCTCCAGCCCTCGCAGCATCCCCATGGCCTCCTCTGGCCTCGCTCCAGCACCTCCACATCCCTCTTGTGCTGGGCCCCCCACGCCTATGCAGAGCTGCCGCATTCACCCCGATCCCGTTTCTGGGGCGCAAAACATACCCAGGGGATGATTCATTACCGGGAGCAGCAGAGGCGGCAGGGCCGGGCCGCCAGGGCACCCTCCCTTCTCCCTGCGGCCTCGCTGCTCCTTTATTCCCCGGCCGCAGCCTGATCGCGTTACTAATTGCTCCCTCCCGGGGCCATACAGGGAACAGAGCCCTGCAGGTCACGGAGCCGCCGTTACCGGCCTTAAACTCTTTTAACGAGGGGGACCGGGCCGCACCGAGGCAACACGTGACCACTGGCTCCGGTCCGGCCCAGCACGTGACCGAGGGGGGGTAGGCGGGATTCCCCCCCCCTCCTTTCCCACCGCCCCGTTCACCGGTGCCCCCCCACGTGTCCGCCGCTCCCGTTCACCGCGCGCCACCGGGGGGCGCCCGCCTCGCCGCCACCCAATCACCGCGCTCGC